CTATCAATATATGCGCTAAAACATCAATTAAACCAATCCAATACGTTGCAAACATGATAACAAACACATACATACCATTAAAACATGTTTATGATACAAGAATCGTAGTAATTGAATTTGAAATAAAGGTAAAACCGTATGAGTTACAGCGCGTAATTCTTGATGCTTCAAGCCTTGCAAATGATTGGGAAAGCTTCAGTGCACACCGAGGATGCGATTGCTGGCCTTAAATTGCTTTGAAAGGTCCTGTGGAGTGAAATTCAATCCCTACTTTTTGACAACTTTTTTGAGTTTGTTCTTGCTCTTTCACGACTGCAAAACCTTGTCCTTGTGCATTGGATATGTTCTGTATATGTAATGGAATACATTAGGTTAACAAAAACAAGCTAAATCTTGGTCCATTATGAAGATTTGATTTGGTATTAATCCTTGTATGATATCTTTCTATATCAAGCCAAATCATGCCAATCTTGTACCAATCATGCTTGATTCGATTTGGTCTTGATATCTCAGCATAATTTGATTGAGATCCTGTCAAAAAATCATATCAAAACATATCTTTGATATTATTTACCAATTATTTGATTTTATTCAATTTTTAATTAATAAAAAGTCAAAATAAAATGGAAAATGAAGCAAATGACATGTGGGTGGATATTTGGTTCTTGGACCATGCTACAAGTGAGGTGCAATCATGAAATGCTAAGCCCATTTGGTGAAAAATGCACTTTTGAGCATATTTGACTTTTGGCAATTTTGCAAAAAATGTCAACTTTGACAAGGCATATCTCCTCCAATTGTAACCCTAGAGAGATGTTCTTGGAATTTTTAGAAATCTTAGGATATCCCCTAAGCAACCCTTTTGGTCTCATTTTAATTGGGTCTTCCATGTTAATGTAAGAAGCCTTGACCCAAAAGGTGTTTTTGTTGACTTTTCAAAAGGACCTATAATATAGAAATTCATATCTTTTGATGAGTGCATATTTTGAACTTGTGGGCTGAAGATGAATTGTAGGGAATTGCATCCTCTTCAAATTGAGCCTTGGATGGAAAATTTCTGATAAAGTATGAGGAAGTTATGCTTGGTCAATGTTTGGTTGACTTTTCCTAAGAAACCCTAATTTAGCAACTTGTGGGTTTTGATAAATTTGGGGCATTCCTTGAAGAATCATGATCAACCCTTGATCAAATGATGAAAGTCACTTCAAAATTTTGATGTTGACCAAAAATCTTGAGGTTTGACTGTATGTGGGCCAATGTTGACTTTTGACCTAATATAGTCGATTCTCAAGCATCTGAGCAGTTGACTGAGCAAACTTCTTGTGCAAGGCATGAAACTTGACATGGATGATATTAGGAACATATTAGGCCATGGAAAGCATTTGGATCCTTTGTGGTTCACACATCTTGATGAAAATGGAAACCCTAATTTGAGGTATACTGCCTTAGGAGAGAGTTTGTTTGGTCAACTCTTGGGCTTCCTTGAGCAAATTGGGGACCTCAATTGACATATGTTGAGTAAAATGAGAGGGAAAACTTTGGGGTAAAACATTGAGCATTTGAGATATTTTGTGAGAAATGTCTTTAAGGAAAGGGAGGGAAAATTTTGGGGTACAATAAATAGATAGATAGATAGATAGATAGATAGAGAGAGAGAGAGAGAGAGAGAGAGAGAGAGAGAGAGAGAGAGAGAGAGAGAGAGAGAGAGAGAGAGAGAGAGAGAGAGAGAAGGATTTGTTTAGGAAGTTCCCCAATCGGCCTCGCTATGGGTACGTATGCCCCCAATTTTGTTTGGAATTGAGATAATGAAAATTAACCTTTTCAAAATATTATTTATAAGAGAACAAGTAGAAATCCAACACTCCAAACCATAAGTTGTATGTTGATCGTATCTTTTTCTCTCCCCTTGATCAGAGCTTGATCAATTAACCTGATACTTCCAATTTAATCCTCCAGTTATTGCTACTCCTTTGACAGAACCCTCATTCTTCAAATCCTTCATTTGGATGAATCCAAACTGCGAACGTATCATAACCTAAGATTTACTAAAGTGATCCTCCGATTACCATTAATCCTTCGAACAAACCCATTGTTCTTCAAAGACTTCACTCAGCTGAATCCAAATTGCATAATCTTGTCTAAAACCTTCAAATCACCAAGGATCTTGAATGAAAACCCCACCTTGGTTTTATGATTTGAAACCCCCAAAGATCTTTCAACTCAATCGATTGCACTAAATCCTAATTGGATGTTATCAAACTATCTCTTGATCACACAACAAAAATGATTATGTGTAGTTGTTGTATGTATGCAATGAGAGAGGATGAAGATGATGAAAATCTTTGTATATTTTTTATTTCATTTTTTTTAGAAATGATGCATGAATGATTTTATATATATGTATATATATATATATATATATTTGTGTGTGTGTGTGTGTGTGTGTGTGTGAGAGAGAGAGAGAGAGAGAGAGAGAGAGAGAGAGAGAGAGAGAGAGAGAGAGAGAGCTTATGAAAGAATGAAATGGATAAAATAGGGTTGCAAAATTAGAAAATTGGATAATTTTGATCAATGGGAGCCAACTCATTCATAGTGGGAGTCGACTTCTAAGGACAAGGGAGTCAACCCATACATCCTGGGAGTTGACTCCTTTTGGAAAGAGAGAAATTTTTTGAAAACAACTTCAGTAGGAGTATCAAGTTGGAAGTATCGGGATACTTGAAAACAACTCTCGTACTGAATCAGATATGCTCCTAAGAATACAAAATCAACCATGTCAAGGACTCTGATGCCGATGTTCTTCCCCGACGATCTCATCATTAAGATCATTATGTTACTTCCTGTTAAACCACTTCTTCGGTTCAAGTGTGTAAGTAATTCTTTGAACACTCTCATTTATGATCCTATTTTTGTAAAATTCCATCTGAAGAAATAAAAAAATCACCAAATCCAAAATTCACATTAATCACTAATCATCCCAAACCTTTAGAGGGAGATTATAGTTTTGGCAGTGATTGGAGTATGGTTCCATATCCTATAAGTCGTTTACTAGATACTCCATCAGCTACTTTTGTCGTTGATTCTTATTATCTTTTCGACAATAAAGAATTCTCTATTGATGTTTTATGCAATGGATTGATTTGTCTCGTTCGTCATAGTTTCCCTAATACATTTAGTGAATATCAAGAGTACTCGTTGCGACAATGGAACCTAGCCACTAGAAAAATATCTCAAAAAATTGATTATTTTCGCGAGTTACACAGTTTCATCTTCAATTTTGGTTGAGATGATTCCATAAGCACGTTTAAAGTAGTTGTCTCACGCTACATTTGTGATGGACATACAAGCGATGTGAGAGTTTTCACTATCAATATTACGAGAACTTACAAGGTCATATGCATAGAATATCGATAGTGTAATAAATTATTAAATTAAATAAGATTTAATTTAATTATGTGTTAATAGTATTTGAATTTTTTAATATATTAATGCATACATAATTTATTTTATTAAATAGTATCTAATTAAATAAATGATAATTACAGTTAATTAAATTGAATGATATTTCATTTATTTAACATTTTATTTTATTTTATTAAAGGAGTTTATTTAGATATTATTAATATTTTATTTAATTAAAATAGTTTAAGGAGAAAATTTAGATACAATTTCTTAGATGTGATTTTTATTATTTTCAGATGAAAATATGATAAGCATATTTAAATATTGTTTAGGGAGCAGAAATAGAAGAAAATTGCATATATGTATGAGGAGGAAACTATAACTTTATCATATTTTTATTAGAAAATATTAAAAATAAGACCTAAATAATTGTATATAAGTTTTATCTATAGTTAATTAAATAAGATTGAACTCGTTTTAGAAAAGTCCAAATAAGACCATTAAAATTTTAATAACTCTTTATAAATAGATAAGACATTTCCCTTATAACTCTAATGGTCATATTTTCTCAGAAAACGTCTTTGCATTCACATGAAATTCATAGAGACGATGGTATTGTGATCAAAGAAAGTATACTTCAAGAGTTATTTCTATAATTCATACTTATTGTTTGATTTGTGATTATGATTTAATCAAGATTCATACATCAGAATTGTTATGCTAAGAGCATCAACTTTTTTGAAAAATTCTTCTTAAATATCTGCTTAGAATTGTTTAACAAGTTTTCCATATATAAGATATTTTTAAGAAAAAGTAAGGGAATTTTTTTTTAAAAAAAGCATGGGTATTATTTTGTTAAAATTTTAAATGTTATTTTTTCCTAATCAAAATATGATAATAAAATTGTATAAAATTTATTATTAAGAAAAAGTAAAGAGAGCTAGTTAAAAAAGAAAATTTTTTAAATTTTATTTTGTTAGAAACTTTTATATCATTTTTTAATAAAGGAAATCGATAAAAAGAAAATGGGAAAATGTGATGCTTATTTAGTTAGTGAAAAAAGTAAGATTTCTTAATTAGTTAAATGAGAGAAAGGTTAAATTTTATTAAATTAATAGAAAATGAATGAATTTTATATGAAATGTTCTTCATTTATATATTTAAAATTATTTTTAATAACTTGATAAATTTTTATATTTAAAATATTTTTAGGGAAAAATTAAGAGGAGACAGTAAAAAAATTTAAAAAAACATGAGTTTTATTTTGTTAAAACGTTATTATTATTTAATTTTAATCAAATTATAAATAAAAAATAATTTTTTTCAATAATTTCACAATTTTTATTTATTCATAAATATTTTTAATAATTTAAAAAAGTTAGAAGAAGTAATAGGAGTATATATATATATATATATATATATATATATATATATATATATATATATATATATATATATATATATATATATATATATATATATATATATATATATATATATATATATATATATATATATATATATATATATATATATATATATATATAACTTGAATTACAAAGAAGAAGTCGCTCTCGTATTGAATTGGATAAGCTCCTATGAATACAAAATCAACCATGTCAAGGACTCCGATGACGATGTTCTTTCCCGACGATCTCATCATTGAGATTATTACGTTACTTCCTGTTAAACCTCTTCTTCGATTCAAGTGTGTAAGTAATTCTTGGAACACTCTCATTTCCAATCCTACTTTTGTGAAATTACATCTCAAGAAATCAAAAACATCACCAAATCAAAAATTCACATTAATCACTAATCACCTCAAACCTTTAGAGGGAGATTATAGTTTTGATAGTGATTGGAGTATGGTTCCATATCCTATAAGTCGTTTACTAGATAATCCGTCGGCTACCTTTATCGTTGATTCTTATTATCTTTTGGATAAAGAATACTCTATTGCTGGTTCCTGCAATGGATTGATTTGTCTCGTTGGTCATAATTTCACTAATATGTATAGTGAATATCAAGAGTATTGGTTGCAATTATGGAACCCAGCCACTAGAAAAATATCTCAAAAAATTGGATATTTTCGTGAGTTACACAGTTATGTCTTCAATTTTGGATGGGATGATTCCGCAGACACGTTTAAAGTAGTTGCATCACGCTACGTTCATGATGGACATACAAGCGAGGTGAGAGTTTTCACTATTGGGAAAAATGTTTGGAGAAATATTGAAAATTTACCCGTGGTTCCCCTTGGTTTGGAGTTGCGTGGGAAACGTATAGATAAGGGGTATGAACATGGTTGTGTTGTTTCAAATACCACTATTAACTGGTTGGCTATTCACAAAGATGTCTCGTTCAATTGGAGTTATGATGTAAAGGACATGACTATTGAGGACCTTGTTATTGTTTCACTTGATCTAGGAATGGAGACATACAAATGTTATCGGTTGCCTCCCATAGAGCTGCCACATGAAGAGCCAATTATTGGTGTGTTAGAGGAATGCCTTTGTTTGTGTTATTCTTATAAGAGAACTGATATTGTTATATGGCAGATGAAGAAATTTGGGGTTGAAAACTCTTGGATTCAATTTCTTAAAATTAGTTATCATAATCTTCAACTAGACTACCATCTTTCATTTTTGCCATTGTTTCTTTCTAAGGATGGTGATACACTAGTATTGTGCAGCTCTCATAACGAGGAAGCAATTCTATATAATCAGAGAGATAATAGTATGCAGCGAATAGAAGTTAAAGTGCATAAAACTATTATTGATGATGAAACTCATAACTCTTTATGCTTGACCATGGCCCAGGATTATGTTGAAAGCTTAATTTCAATTTGTTGAAAGTAAGTTCATTATCCATGGTTTATTTGTTTAAATTTATATTAATACTAAATCATATGTGTTGTTTTGATAGTGATAAATGGTGTGAATACTCATTTTATGATTGCTTAGGTTGATTGTGTCTTATTATTTGATGTATTGAATCGGTTTTTTTATATATATTATCATAACCAAAAGGTGTGGCGTTGTTCATAAGTCCATCTTTTTCTAGTGTTAATTATATGAACTTAAATTCTCTTTAAAAGACATTCAATCTAACTTGGATATTTTTTATTTGGTTTGTCTTTAGAAAGTTTTATATAAAATTAAAGAACTAAGAAATAGTTCTTAAGTTAGGAGGATAGTAAATTATTTGAATTATATCCATCATCTTATCAAATTAGGTGAGATAGAGTTAATATACTATTGAAGAAGTGATGAATGTAAGAGAGTGAGACCATGTGCCAATGTTCTTGTGTATTAAGAGGGGGATAATTTTTTTCTTTGCTGTTAAAGAAAATGGGCTGCACCACTTCTGTTGGAGGAATATATTGTCAATTGTTTTTTTGAAACTATTCAATTATTTATATCTTTTAAGCTTTGCATTTGTGCATATTTATCTAACTAATATGTTTTTGTTTAAAATTTAAGAATGTGTTTTGAGTCGGTGATTGTTATGTTATTGTTTTGCAACTGCTTTACGATCGTTTGACTGAATTTCTATTATCATTTTTTAAATTCTGACATACTTTTTGATGGTTTTATCAGCATTCTTCATAGTTGGTGGAAGAAATTATCAAGAATCACTAGATGCTTCATTCTTGAGCTGAAAATAAAAGAATAGGATGTTAGAGTTATTACACATGATGGAAGGTGAAATGAAAATCCATAAACAAGACCACTTGTTGTGTTTTATTACATGTTGGAATAATGTGAATTTATGTACCTGTTTTTCTTTTTAAATTACAATGAAATAATGTGATCTCAGAAAAAGAATCTCATTTTGTATCTGTCATACTACAACCAATTCCTCTTACAAGGAGGACATCATAAATGACAAAATGCTTCAAACCCTTTTGATTTTTTATATTAATATTTTATGTAAAAAATAAGAAAAAATTGATGTGATCAAGAATTAATAATCTTTCTCTTCTCTCTTTTAAAGTTTTAGCTTTTCAATGTTTTTTTTTTTTGTTTTAATCAATGGAGTGGTGTTGGACTTTTCATATTATGTGTTTTCAAGGTATGGCACTTTATTATCGGTCATTCCAAGAATTGAATTTATGAAAATATGAAATCATAATTGTTTCGTTAGAAGATTTTCTTTAATAATTTATTAGGTATTATGTATAACATCTCACTTTTTTTTTTGGCTACTCTCTCTATCTCACAACTTATATCATTTTTTTATTTATTTTAAATTATTTATCATTTTAAAATATCAATGTGATATTTATTATTTATTTTTACTAATTTATCCTTATTTATTGAATTTTAATTCATATAACTATTTTACTAGTTATTATTAATAAGATTATTTTATTAAATGAGACTATTTTGTCTTTGAAATCAACATAATTAATTATTACCTTAAAAAGTATGAAAATCTATAAAAAAAAACACATATTATAAAACAGAGGGAATAATTAACAATGATATTAAGATATAAATAATTAGAGACTTAATTATGAAGGATTAGGATATTTAAGTCTAATTAGGAACCAAAGATTAATTGCAGATAATGGAATTAGAATATTAAGGTATAAAAAGTTGACATTTTACCATAAGAGTAATTGGGCCATTTTTCAATGATTATTTGATATTTGAATTTCATTTAAAATTATGGAAGTTTATATATGAATACTTAAGTCACGAAATATAATTATATTAGTAAGGATAAAATAGAAAATTTAATGAAAAGTAATAACAATTATGGAGCTAACGATCTCGATATTTTTAAGTATTTTGATGTTTTGATGATGATAACACTAATATTTGTTGAAGTTGTTTGTGATATCTTTCCAACTATTTGATGGTGGTGATTACCTTGAAGATAATTCAAGTTTCATAAAGTAGAAGGTTCAAAGTTTTAGAGAAGTGCTTATATGATCGGTATATCAGAAAAAGAAACTTAAAAGCTTTAGAGTTGTGAAAGAGAGGAAGGGTGAAACTTGTCTGGTCGTGTCTGTCTGAGTGGTCAAAGTCTTTTGAAAGTAGGAGAGTAACTTCTAAGATACTAAGGCAACTCGCACACACACACACACACCTTAAATGTTTCAAGGCTTCTCTTTATTTAATAAAATCGCCTAAAAATAGTTTTAGTGCCTAACCAATTGATTAGGTGAGTATTTGATTGATTGAAAGAATTTTATCAACTAAATAATCGATTAAACCTAATGACCTAATCGATTATTTTCATTAAGTTAGGTCTAAAATCAATTGGAAGAATCTCTTCATGATTGGTAATGGATAAATATCACAACCTTCCTTTTATGGCTTGGATAATTGATTATTTGAGGTAAATAATTGATTAGCATAATCGATTATCTTATTAATTTGCCCATGGACTATGTTCCGTTGTGGAACCATAACAGATAATATTTTGGAAGCTACAATGGAACAAAGCTTCGTGTGAAATTTGGTGATGCGGTTTCTTGGACCGAAGGTATCGATCGTGATGCATCTTGAATCAAAGTTGATGATCTTGAATTGGTGTCTCTAGTGTTCAATATGGTGGATCAAAGGGGGTGTCTGTATGGTTAACACTTAAATGCTCGAATCATTTAAGGGTTTAAGATAATCATAGTGAAAGTGGATATTAGAGATTGTGTATCTGAAACCCTCTTGAAATTATATTTATACCTTGGGCCCCATGGAGTGGACGAGATGATTGGGCCTTATCTTGTTAGGCCTTTGGCCAACCAAGAAAATTTGCCCCCAAGACTCACCGGACACTCGGGATGTCGAAGAGGTCTTTTAGTAATCATGGTCAACCTTTAGATATAGTTGTCCATGCGTCGACATGAACAGATTGCTTTGGTTTTACCAAATAATGAGGGGGAACATGAGCATTAAATGTAATCCCATCATTGAAACATTTTGTTGTTTTTCTTTAGATGTGTGACCTGAAAAGGCAGAGAGTGGCGCAATGTTGGTTACTGCACTTTAGCTTGATTTCATCTTCAAATGTGAAATTTAACTTATAGTTTACATATGTTTCTTTCTTACAATCCGATCTCTACAATTTCTTTCGCCTTTATATACGGGTAGAATAAACTTGGAGAATTTTTACAACCTTTTAGATTGAATTCCCCTTATATTCTTTGAGTTTTACCTCTTCTCTAATAGCATTTTCTTGGAGTAACCTTCATTACATACTAAAACCTTCAAAGCTTCAACCTTCAGTCTTCTCTTTCATTTTGTTTCTTTTGATCTCACGCTTCAAGGTACCTTCTTCCAACTCAAATGTTTTTCTTTGTTAAAATGAGAGATAACCTTATAATATTAGAGAGTGATTTGGGAGATAGCACTTATTTTCCTTGGAAAAGGGAGTGGAATATAAATCAAATTCTTTTTCTTTTGAATCACATCCCCATGATTGATGATTATGAACTGGATCGAGTGTATAAGGACTCCTTTTTTGAAAGAGTTTATTCTAGTGATTCTTTTGAGGCTCTGTTTTCTGTGAAGGTCAACGGGGATAACGATCCTATCGAGAGACCAATGCTTCCCCATATCTTGCTGAGGGAGAAAAATAAGCTACCCAACAAATGATGGAATGTGTCAGCAACTTTGTACGACTCTATCATGTGATGACTGGTCACGATTCTAGTGAAGCTGAAATCACAAGTCATTTGAAAGACTGGGGAAAACCCTATGTTATATCTTGGATAAAATCCTGTTACCACTTTAAGGCTGAGGAACTAGCAAGGAAGGGAATTCGGCTAGTTGAGCCAAGTAACGCCAACAAATAATATTGGGTGGCCACTAAATTGTTAGGGACCCCTTCCACTTTGAACACTGTTGTTATTATATTCGATGTTGCTATTACGGTCGGTGACCCCTTAGATTGGTTGGTTGTTCTAGTAAACTCTACAAAGAGAATATGCAACTCTTTTGAAGACTCCTTCATTCCTCTGTATGAGTTCCTATTTACCAAGTTAGAGGTATGTTTTCCTTTTTCTGACTTCGAGGTAGCTATGATGAACCGCATAAAAGTTGCCCCCTCACAACTTCATTTTGGGGAAATGGCTTATATGAAGTTTTCTACTATGCACTGAGTATAAATCTTGGAAACCTTCTCTTAATCTTTTTTTATCTCTTTTACCGGGTATGGACCTCTGGAAATGATTCTCGGAATCAGGGATTGATCTTTCTTTGTTCCAATGTCCCTTGGTTAAACTTTTTTTACCATTGATTGGGATAATTTCCCTAAATGTTTCATGTTGGTGAATCCTATTACTTCTGAGGCTCACTTTTTATTATGTTATTCCTTGGCCCAGTTAGATTCACTCATTCTTGCAATAGTGGTTTTTGAAGTACTGGTCTCGGGTTCACTTCCGTCGACGTCTTTTTTCTTACCATATTAGGATAAGTCCTATATCCCCTGGTTATGTACAAATTAAGGAGGATATGTGTGATTGTTATGAAGGACCCAGGGCACCTCATGTGTTTTTTAACAAGTGTAACTTGCATTATGCATGTTATTTTGATGGTGATTATGTTGTTTGTGGCATACACGGTCAGAAGAGGGGTCTATTTGTGTATGTTATTGCATTCTAATGTTGAAAGTCATGCATTCATGTTATCTAAACTTCATTTCTTTTTGGTGAGCCTCGATCCTATGATGGGTATTAGGTGCGAGTAGCTAATTCCTATGATGAGGAATTAGTGAAGCGTTACCTATGGTGATGGTAGTGATTTTGGTGTGCTCCAGTTCCAAAAGGGAATCTGATCCTATGGTTGGGATCAGGGAGTGAGATGAACCTGAGTGTTCATATTTGGTACCACATGCATATCAA